CACACACACACACACACACACACACACACACACACACACACAGAGAGAGAGAGAGAGAGAGAGAGAGAGAGAGAGAGAGAGAGAGAGAGAGACTGAAAGGACAGGTGTTTGCCAGCAGCAAAGGGGGTTCATGAGACTGTGATCCTTGTTCATTCATCATTTATTGTTGTATATTATTTGTCGTTCAAGGAGGAGATGAGGCGAAGAAGATAAAGTTGGGGTGAAGAGAGGGATATGACATTGGTTCAAAGTTCCAACTCGTGTATTTCATCGTTTTCTGTATTTTATCTTCTTCTTCTTTCCTTGTACATTCTGTTTTCCACTTCTTCTTAAGTTGAGAAACGTTGCATTGTCTCAGAGTTGAGTTTTGCATCGCCATTTAAACAGGATCATTGCAAAACAAATTAGCAAGGAAACGGTGCTGGTTCAATTTACAAGCACAATGAGGTTGTCATGACCAGCATGCATATGGCGAGCAGGGAATTAGCAGAATGACAAAGCAATTGATTGCACTAGCAAAAGAAAAAACTAGTGTAGTTCACACACCGTAACATACACTGCTGCGGCGTATAGGGCTGCTCCTTCCTATGCGTTTTGTCCAAGGACTTCCTCTCCTTGTGCCACCTCTGTCTCTCCCTCAGGCGGCCAGCTATGGCTGGTGCATCCTCTCCTTCTGAGTCCTGATTACTGGAGTTTTTTGTAGTCTTAGTGGATTGTACTCCTGGCTCGTGTGGACGATTGCTTTCCAGTCCTGTGTTTGTAGCAAGGTTTTTGTGGCGATTACTTGGCGGATATCTCTGCATCTGCACTCAGTTTTGGGTGCATGATCGCTTTCCAGTCCAGTCTGTTTAACAGTTTTGGATGTTATCTGCAGAGTTCTGGGCGAACAGATATCTTGAAATGGTAACTGTTGTGCAAGGGGGATATGTGACCGAGTGCATGCTTGGTTCTGTTATGAAGTGATGATGGCTGTTCAGGTGCGCCCTCAGTTGTCGTGATGCATTCTACACTCCCCTCTTTTGCATTGTTACGTTGTGTTCCCTTTCAGTCATGCCGTTTCTGCCAGATGCCAGTGATCAGCACACATGATGAGGGAGAAACACCTCCCTCCTCCTATCGACAGATGCAGAAACCAGAATCTGGTAGGAGTGACACATATCTGTGCTTGCATTTGATCGCGCTCTGGTCTTGTACAGCTGGAGTTCCGAAGCTGGTCAAGCTGAGGGAAAGAAGCAAGCGACTGCTCGTGTGAATGTTATGCTTGGGTGTAGCACATGAAGGATGCATCTCTGATAGTTGTGGAAGCAGCTGATGGAGTCGGCAAGGCAGTTGCGGGGTTTGTTTCAAATGGTCCTGGAAAAGTGAGATAGAGGTAGACGATCCCAGATGCAGATCAGCTTGTGAAGGACACGCAGTCTGGTTCTGGACAGCGGGGAAAGAACAATTGGCATAATGCACACCCATGAAGCAAGAGGCTCAAAGGGAGAGGGGGGACCAGAGGAGGAGGCATTGGGTGGAGGGATTGCCGCGCCCCCCAGAGTTGAGATACGGGTTCCCTATGCTGAGGACCTTAAAGAAATATTGGACAGCGTGAGGAAAATTGCAGATAATGAAGGTGTGGGCAAGGCAATGGGGTCAGGCAAAAAGAAAGCCATTGGTTGCAAGCATGCACAGACTTGCGATGCTATTCTCTATCTCCTCCGCGAGCTTCATGGGTGGTTGGTGTCTGCGAAACAGAAGGGACTTATCCGCGGAATTAAGGCAGCGGAACACGAAGCACGAAGAGGAGGCTCGACGGATGGCACAGCGAAGCATATCACAGGAAAGTGGAGCGGGTATGATGTCATCTCCGGCGTCATTGGACATGTACGAGAAGTTAGTGGGGTGTTTGTGAAGAAGCATACAGAGGCTCTGCTCACAGCCTGTTCTGAATGCATGGTTCTGCTCGGGCTAGAAACACCTCCTCTTCCTAAGGTATCGGCTGGTGTACCAAAATGGGTGCGAGACAAGCTGGGAACTGAGCAAGGCATTGCAGAACTGGTAATCAATCCCTTCATATTCCATTTCAATCTCCTTATCCCCTTTCTCTCTTCTTTGTGGGTGCTCCTCTGCGTTGACAAAGACTCCCTGAAGAATTAGGCATTGTACTACAGTCCCGCCTCAAACAAAATGCGTGGTGGTTCTACTCACATTGCTAGTTGCCTTGAACACAGTCCTGATTTGAATATATTCTGCTTTGTGGCAGATATGTGGATCAGGTGCAGGCCACATTGAGTAAGGGGCAAGCCACACAAGGTTGATTCTTACCCCCTCATTCTGACCCCCAGGCTTCCCCAAAACGGCAAGCCCTGCTCGGACTTATGCCAGCTGGTGGGCTTGCCTGTTACCGAAAGTATCCAGTGAGAGACGAGAGTTCAAACTTCAAAAACAAGAAAATGAACAGAGAATGATTGCGACCTTGCTACAGTGTCTTCCACTTCCCTGCCGCCTTAAGGAAACATGCCATGGCAGGGCCGTCTAGTGTGTTGGGAAAAGGGGTTTGGAGGTAGTGTGCTTCTGAATTGTGCTGATTGTTGTTAGGCATATGACCGAACAGCAAATCCCGACTGGGCTTAGCACTGAATGACAGTGCCAGTTGCTTGTTGCGGGGATAGCTTCACTACTGCGCATGTCTGAATGCCACCGTCCTCAACCGAATAGAATGCCTGGTCATTATTGCTGCATCTGGACTGGAAGTCGCCCCAAATGTAGCTATAATAACCGGGCGTTCTATTCGGCTGAAGATGGTAGGCAGATCACCGTCATGGTGCGAAGGTCGTCTTGTAAGGCAATGTACCTACCAGGGGCTTCACGTGTTGCGTGGGTGTTTCCTGTCTCTGACAGGTTGCGGTTTTGTATTTCTGTGTGATGCCTGTTCCTTGCTATGTTTCTTATGTTACATGGATGCTGAATGATCTGGCCTGTGTTTTGCTTGTGTGAGTAGTGCGGTTGGTTTTCATTGAGTTTTCTGCGGTTGTGGGGTTGCTGAGGGGTTGTGGGCATGTGGGGATCGTGGACCGGTCTCTTCTGTGCCTGGTGTGTGGATTTGATTGCAGTGTGTCTCTTTTTGCTGATTCTTTACTGACTCTGTTTTTGCAGTGCAAGTGCGGCACAAGAAGGGGCTAAAATGCATGGATACTTCCCACTCAACCCCACAGACGTTGGGAATTTTCACTTCTTTTCGTAATGTTTCTGTAAAATTTGAAGGATGGGTCCCCTCCTCCTCCCCTCTTGGTGCTTCCTTGAGAACACACTAGTGCAAGGAAATAAGCAATGCGAACAGCAATAAACAAGTTGCAACATCTCCCAGAAGACCAGATATCATTGAGCCAAAACTGAAAGTGGAAATCAAAGCGAGTATCACACCAAATAGGAACGAGCAAAACACTGCAGTCCCATGACCACGAAAGCCCTTCCATATAGCCCTCCTACAGGCGGCTGTCCTCTGACTTCCGGACGCACCTATCACCTAGCCTACTTGATGTCTAGAACAGGTCCTCGTGTCATGAGCTTCCAGACGCTCCTATCACCCAGCCTACTTGAAGGCTCTACTTCAAATGCCGCTTGAAGACTGATCAAACAGCCTGCCTTCGACAACACCAGGTACATGCCTCGTCACACTGCCTCTCTTTTTTTCACATGCCCTCCCTCCACCAAGGAGATCTGCTACTCCACTCAGCTATGGAGCATGCAGCCCGGCTATGGCTGCCACTCTCCCCTTCTCCTTCCTCACTGCCACCACGCAACTTCCTTCTCATGCACAAGCACCCAGGAGCCGCTCGCGCAGCTGCTGCCGCATATCCCGAATGCATGAATGTGAAGGCAGGGCGCCCTCCGGTCTTTTGTGGTTGGCTGGAGAGGCCGAGGAGGCTGTGCCCAGGCTGCGCCTTGTCCCAGTTTCCTGCGCCCTGAGCCATTCCAGAATGTGTGCGCGGGCCCAGCATCTGCAACAAACTCGGAGGCTGGGCTTCCAGTTAGTAGCAGAAACTGCACACGTGCTAGCGACCACCCAGGGCCCCTTCCTGCTCACATTGGCCTGTTCTCAGGCCCAGCTGCATTTTAACAGGCCCGCCTTTGACTTAGGACGGGCAGGGCCTTTTTCTACACGGCCGAGGGCATATTTCCTTGCACTAGGGTAGGTTATGCGTTCTTGATATTTTTCGTGTCAGAAGTACAAGACAAAAGCGAATGGATCTGTTCTGATCAGTTTTAAAAAAAAAGAAAAAGAAGAAAAAAAAAAAAGAAGGAATAGCAAGGGAGAACAGCTAAGAGGATAATGAGGTGAAAAGGAGAAGGAAATACTATACAGCTCAATACAGGTGTACTACCGTGTATACAATTCACCTAGCGTGCCTTGGTGGAGGGGGGAGAGGGGGTGGGGAGGTGTGAAGAGCATTTTGGACAATGATATAGAGTATTGCAGACCTATAGGCGCAAATGGAACACAGCCAAACCAACCACGGTGGGGAATGGACTCTGATCTTGGAGCTCATGTTTTGGCTCAGTCAGACTGGAACCCAACACCTGGCCCAAGTACCAGGTAAAGTACGGGGCTTTTCTATTTTTGCTGCTTTTCAAGCTTTTGCTTTTTCCCAAATGTCTTGGAGTGAGACATGGACTGGACTGAGGGCCATTTTGATGACTCTGGGACCCTGCAGATCTATCTCTCATGCCCAGCCTTGACTCGGATGCATGTTTCTCTCCCTGATTTTGAACCCGGGTCATTGCAGATGTGTGTGTGTGTGTGTGTGTGTGTGTGTGTGTGTGGCTATATTGTAATTATCAAACAAGGGATGGCCGGCTTCTCTTCATGCGTGCCCATTCTG